CGAGCGCTACCGATGATAGCATCAACCCCCTACTCCGACGCCAGGAGCCAGCCAGCCAAGACAACCGCCCTCAAACGTCTGGGCACTCGCGTCGTCCTTTGGAGATCATGCCTGAAGGCGTCAATATCGGTGGCGGACGTCGGGGAATTAATGATCCAATGGGTATCCTCGGCGAGCTTCTGGATTTCCTTCCCCACGGAGCCCGCGACGGACATCACTTCCAATTGCAGATTGCCGGGCCAGGTGGTGTTGTTCCGCACGGCCGAAGCCGAGATATGATCCAAGAGAGTCTCTTCCGAGATCTGATGGGCATGGGCCGGGGCCACGGACACGAGTCTCGACGCGACACTGGAGGTCAGGAACCGCATCAAGCTGTCGCATTCCAGTTGCAAAGTACCATGGAGCGTTACACAGAAGAGGCTGCCATGCTTTTCATGGACAAGGTTGCTCAGGAGGCCGCGAAGCTAGCCAACATTATCACAGCGAAACTGATACCTGCCGCTGTGGCGCGTGAACTGAAGCTGAAAGCTGAGGAGACAAAGAGGATTGAGAAAGAAGAAGCTGAGCGCCAGGAACGAGAGCGTAAGCTTCGAGAAGAGAAAGAGCAAGCCGACAGAGAAGCCAAAGAAAAGGCCGAAGCTGAAGCAAAGGAAGCAGCAGAACGCGCCGCTTCGCAAGCAGCCGCCGTTGCTACCTCAGAGCCCAGCACTGTCACCGGAGAGAACACCGAGTCCGGGGCGATGGAAGGCGTGGAATCCACCTCCACTACAATCACTGAGGGCGAACCTACTGCGCAAAGTACAACTGCCTCGGGCGATACTAGTGCCGGGGTTGAACCTACGAGCGACGCACGCGCTTCCACCCCTGACCAGCAGCGGGTGGTGACTGTCTTGAACAACCAAGAGGTCGACGTTACTGATCTGGGGATTGATCCTGACTACCTGGCAGCTCTCCCGGAAGAGTATAGGCAAGAAGTCATCGCTCAGACCATCTCAGAACGCCGCACTCAAGCACGCGAGCAAGCACCCACTGGCCAAGATCCCGGCATCTTCCAGGAGTTTTTGGATGCCCTGCCGACCTCGTTGCGTAGGGATATCGAAGCGCAAGAGGCTCACGACCGACGCCGCCGTCGCAACGAATCTGGCAGAAACGCTGCTGCAGCTCCAAGTGCCGGCGTGGAGATCAATCAAGGCAACGCAGGCGGTGCCGCCCAGCCGCCTGGTGATGTCTTTGGCGAGATGGACGCAGCCGACATCCTCCTCACATTCCCGGCTGAGCTTCGAGAACAAGTGCTCGCTGAGCAGGGCCATGAGCTCATAGCGCATCTGCCCCCGGAAATGGCAGCCCAAGCGCGACGACTTCAACAGGATGCGGCGCCTCCACCGCGTGCCCAAGTTACTCATCGGCGGGCTTTGGGAGCAGGAGGCCTGAGCCCTCCGCCGCCCCCGGAGGCCACCGGAAGCAGGGCCATTAAGCCGCAGCAGCGCCGCACTGTTGTACAGATGCTCGACAAGTATGGCGTCGCGACACTGGTGCGGCTCATGTTCATTGCACAGCAGGGCTCGATTCGAAATCACCTGTTTGGGGTCTTTGCAGACGTGTGTGAGAATCGCCAAAACCGCCTCGAGGTGGTCAGTACTCTCTTGCAAATCCTCCAGGAGGGCAGCACCGATATGCACGCAGTCGACCGTAGCTTCAGTCAGCTATCGCTCAAGGCTAGGCGTGCAAAAGATGAGGAAATCAAGACGCCACGAGGTCTTAAGAGAACATCGACATCGATTCTTCAAGGCACGCAAACCAGCTCAGAGACTTCGCCATTGTTGATTGTGCAGCAGTGCTTGGATCTACTTGTCGAGCTATGCAGCAAGAACCCCCATGTCCCATGGCTCTTCCTGACAGAGCACGAGACTGTGGGCTTCACCTTGAAACGTGCGTTGGGTCGAAAGGGCAAGGGCAAGGATAAAGATTCTAGGGTGCACAAATTTGCCATCAACTCACTCCTGACCTTGCTGGATCGCACGCTGGTCATGGATAACGCCGCTGTGATGGCGCACCTTGCAGATCTCCTCAACCGAGTCACAATGCCTCTGCAAGCACTGGAGCGCCGTCGCAGAGAGGCTGAAGAGAAGGCGTCTAAGGCCAAAGAGGACGAGGCGAAGGAGTCGGAGAAGCCAAGCGAGAGCACCTCTGCAGAGCCATCTGCAGCTGCGGAAACAGCGGCTCATGACCAGCCTGCTGGCGCGGCCGCTACAGATGCTACCGCCGAGCAGCCCGACGCCCAAGACCAGGGTGATCAATCGAAAAAGTCTCGACTGCTACAGCCGCCTTTGATTCCGGATCAGTATCTGGTCATGGTCGTCAAAATCTTTGTCGCCCGTGAGTGCAGCTCGAAGACATTCCAGAACACAATCGCCACAATCAAGAACCTGTCGACTCTCGAGGGCGCAAAATCAGTGTTCGGCAACGAGCTTGTGGCTCAGGCCGAGCTCTTGAGCAAGAACATTGTGTCGGATCTGGATAACCTCCTGCCTCACATTGAAAAGGCAAAGACCGGTACAGAGATCCAAGGCGTTGCCCTCGCCAACTTCTCGCCCGGCAATTCGGAGCAGAACAAGCTGCTCCGCGTCTTGACAGCGCTCGATCATCTGTTTGATGTTAAGAAACGTGGAGAGGGCAGCACTGCCGCCGACGACCAGAAGAGTGCGCTTCTGTCTTCCCTCTACCACAACTCGACATTCTCCGCCATGTGGGAAAAGCTTGGAGCTTGTCTTTCGGCTATTCATCAAAGAGAGAACATGCTCCACGTCGCTACGATCTTATTGCCGCTCATCGAGTCGCTCATGGTCGTTTGCAAGAACACTGCAGCCTCTAACACAAATCTGCAAGAAGCCGACAAGGACATGCTCATGGCGAGCCCGCCTCCTGAGTCGCGGACGGCCAGTCTCTTCTTCACCTTCACAGAGGAACACCGTCGGATACTGAACGAGCTTGTTCGGAGCAACCCCAAGCTCATGTCGGGCACTTTCGCGCTCCTTGTTAAGAACCCTAAGGTGCTCGAGTTTGATAACAAGCGTAACTACTTCAACAGAAGTGTCCACTCACGCACTGGCCAGCCGCAGCATGGACGACCTAGCTACCCGACTTTGAACCTACAGGTTCGCCGCAACCAGGTTTTCCACGACTCCTTCAGGTCCTTGTACTTCAAATCCGGAGACGAAATGAAGTTTGGCAAGCTTAACATTCGTTTCCATGGAGAGGAGGGTGTCGACGCCGGCGGCGTCACCCGTGAGTGGTTCCAGGTCCTAGCTCGCCAAATGTTCGACCCCAACTACGTGCTCTTCATTCCAGTGTCGTCAGATCGCACGACTTTCCATCCAAACAAGCTCAGTGGTGTCAACGAGGAGCATCTCATGTTCTTCAAATTCATCGGTCGTATCATCGGAAAGGCATTGTACGAGGGAAGGGTTCTCGACTGCTTCTTCAGCCGCGCTGTTTATAAGCGCATCCTGGGTAAGAGTGTATCCGTCAAGGACATGGAGTCTTTCGACCCCGACTACTACAAGTCTCTGTGCTGGATGCTCGAAAACGACATCACCGACATTATCACCGAAACATTCTCGGTCGAGGACGATGAATTTGGCGTTACCAACGTGGTAGATCTCAAGCCCGGCGGTCGCGACATTCCGGTCACAGACGAGAACAAGCAAGAATATGTCAAGCTCGTTGTCGAGCACAAGCTTCTGAGCTCAGTCAAAGACCAGATGGAGCACTTCCTCAAGGGATTCCACGATATTATCCCCTCCGAGTTGATCTCCATCTTCAACGAGCAAGAGCTTGAATTGCTGATCTCTGGTCTGCCGGACATTGATATTGACGATTGGAAGAGCACCACGGAGTACCACAACTACACGCCGTCTTCGCCCCAGATCCAATGGTTCTGGCGTGCCGTTCGCTCCTTCGATAAGGAGGAGCGCGCCAAGCTGCTTCAGTTCGTCACCGGTACCAGCAAAGTACCTCTGAACGGGTTCAGAGAACTGGAGGGCATGAATGGCATACAGCGGTTCAACATTCACCGAGCCTATGGCAACAATGAGCGCTTGCCAACTTCTCACACATGCTTCAATCGTAAGTCTCGCCCAGAAAGCTGGCCCCTGTTTGGCTTGAGCAATAACTAACAAGCGTGCAGAACTGGACCTGCCCGAATTCGAGAGCTACGACGCTTTGCGGTCACAGTTGTTCAAAGCTATAACCCAAGGCAGCGAATACTTTGGCTTTGCATAAACATTGCTTGGCTGCGGTTTGTAATTGCACCGTGGTGAAGGGGGCATGACACGACTAGTAGAAGGCGGCAACGGAACGGAATGGGTGCAAAGAGCTGCCTATTTACGTCCTTGCTCACGGCGTTGGGGACAGTGTTTATTTTTACCAGTATAGTACGTTATCGTTGTGGACAACCTGGCTCAGACCAACTCGAGTCCGTATGGTCAGTAGGGCAGGGCGCGAGGAGAGTGCAGGTCTCCTCGGTGTCGCAGCCTCTGACGGACTGAGTGGCACGGATATGGGAATTTGCCTAGAGCACGTCAAGTAGCCGGTAATTAGATAGTAATTTCTCCGGTATGCGCAAGCCTGCTCCGAATTGATCCAGTCGAAGTGACGTGAATCGTGTCAGCAGCCAAATCCATGATGGACAAGCCTTATACCATTCGCATCATAAGTTGAAACCGAGATTCACGACAAGAGTTCACGCGAGGCACGCACACGAATCAGCGACAGCAACTCATCAGAAATGCATTTGAAATTCCCCAGTAGAACCTCTAATACAACCGTGGTGAGCTCGAACCGAGCCCGCGAGATGCCCTTTGCGCGCCCCAACGCACGTACGCGCGTGCTGTGGTGGGTATGGAAACTAATGCCGAAAAAATAAGTCTTTTCATGTGGCCTCTTTTTTACCCATTTGCTGTCTTCAAATACTCATTATAACGCCGGACCAGCCCTGCCGTTTACTTGCGCATGGAGGAAGCACGACGCTTGCGGGCGTCGGCCTTGTTGGCCTTGGCCTCAGCGACACGCTTGGCAAGGATCTGAGCGTACTCGTTCTGCGGAGGGTTGGATTAGCACATTGAAATTCGAAAAGTGGAGGAGGAAGACGTACGGCCTCGTCCTTGACCTTCTCGGCTTGGCGGCGCTTGAGTGCAGCGCGGTGACGCTTGTGCTGGAGGCGCTGGGGGGTGACCAGGCGCTGGATCTTGGGAGCCTTGGTGTAGGGGGTCTTGCCCTCGCCCTTGGGCTGGACTTCACGGCGGATGACGTACTTGCGAACCTAGAGGGATGAAAGTTAGCATCTTGCAAAGATTGTGTATGGCTGGAATTGGTTTTGCCGGGGAGAGAAAGGGCCGAGGGAGGACAAAAAGGAACCCCGTTCTCCATGCATGCTCACTCCCATCGTCGATCGATGTGCAGCCGGGACAGCGGTTCCGCGTGTATGTTGAAACAGACGTGTACCAGCTCGAGCCCGTTCGATGTTCGTCCGATGGGGAGTGTGGAAGCATGTATTGCCATGGGGGACCGGTTTATCCTCTTCTCTCGTCCGCAATCTCTCCCCTTCTCTCACACTCTACCCGGTCTGCCAGCGCAGACGCGGGTAGGCGATGATCGAGTATGGCAGGACGGTGGGCAGACATACATCGTCATCCTTGGTGAGGCCGAAGAACCTGCGGATCTTGGTCGCACGCTTGGGGCCGAGGCGCTTGGGGTGCACGACGTCGGTGAGGCCGGGGATGTCCTCGTCGCCCTTCTTGACGATGGACAGGGCGAGGACGGACATGTCCATGCCGACGATGCAGCCGTGGACGGACTTGCGCTTGCGCTCACCGGCGCGGCGGGGACGGTAGCACGAGTGGCCATCGGAAAGGAGGAGCTTGACACGGCCGGGGACCATGACACCCTGCTTCATGGGGAAACCCTGCTTGTCGTTGCCGCCGGTGATGCGGAAGATGTAGCCCTTGAACTCGTCGCCGACGGAGTCACCGGGGACCTCGGCACCCATCTGTCGAAAAGAAAGGTTAGCCCTGTCTCTGTGCATATGAAGTCGAGCAGTCGATCTTGCGTCTTGCTCGGCGAGGCAGTGGTACATACGCGCTTCTCCATGAAGACGTTGAGCTTGCGCTCGTCCTCGATCTCGAAGAGCTTCTGGCTGCCATTGGCAGGGTAAGAGACGTTCAACTACAAAATGCGTTAGCATGGTCGTTCACTCCCACGGCTCGTGTACTGGGGTCGAATCATCTCCAGCCAGCGCCAGCAGCAGTTGAGCAGAGCTCCTGTGCGGGCATTCGCAATCTCCATCTCGGAAAAAGAAGAGGAGTTGCTCGTACTGCTGGGCGGCCGTCGACTTGTGTCGTAGAGGATCGTCCGTACCTTCATATTGCCGGTGGTGGTGGTGCAAGTGGCTGGACCTGGCGGGTTAGTTGTCGAAGTTGTCGAAGAGGGCGGTTGAATTGCAAAGTTGGAAAATTTGGTGGAATTGGGGTGGGAGAAAGTGTGTGCCGCTAGGGCTGGTCAGTGCTGCGGCCAATCAGCGCTCGCTAAAGTCAGACAGTGTCAAAAGGTGGGGAGGGTTTGCTTGTGGCTGGTACACATAGCCCCCGGTATGGCATGTCAAGCCACACTTTGAGATTATGCGCCACAATCTTGCTCAGTCGCGTCTCGTCTTCCACAGAAGCGCGTAGCTTACTCACATTCCAATGTGTGAAAGTGTAACACACAGGAGTAGATCTGAACTGAACATCATTGATCATGTCGACTGTAACAATGCACCCGCCAGACACCAAGGCGTCGACAGCTTCACCACTTCCTACTCTCCTCAAGACACCCGGTGGTCTGGCCCTCCTTGATCTCCAAGGGACAATCAACCACCCAAAGCAGCCCAATGGCGAACCCTTGATCGGCGACTTCAGCTTTGGCCGTCTCGAGTTCCCAGAGTATGATCCCGACTCTGTCATCGGCGGCACAGCCTGGATGAAACGTGTCTTTCTCTACGTGGGCGAGTACCAGCGACTCAACGGCGAGGTGAAGAAGCTGGTCAAACCCTTTGCGATTGTGGGCAAGAAGCAGCAGCAGCAGCAGCAGCAAGAAGCAGCCAGAGGAGAAGGGGAAGGGAAAGAGGATGAGTTGGAGATCATTGACATTGTCAAGTACAAATTGCTCTTCTCAGGACGACCTGAGCCGGTCGGCACCGAGCATGCGCCAGTTTGAGAAAGGGCAATGTTGTGTCATTGATTGCCTACTTGCGGACGTACATTCCGATACGGATCCTCATTCTGGACCGACCGATATCGCCTTGGTCCTCCCTAACCCTTCCCTCCCATAGTAATCCATGGGATACGGACCATCGCCCCAGCCCTCTCGCTCCTCCAAGGCAACCAGCGCCTCGTACGGCGTCAGCAGCGGCCGAGGAAACGCGTACCCCCAGTCGATACTCAACCGTGGACACGCCACCTGCACCCAGCACTCGACGTCGCTCATGAGGGCCAGCTTGCCCGGGAAGATCTCGCTGAGGAGGAGGTTGATGAACGGTATCCCGCGCTCGCGCAGCCTCTTCTCGACAAGCGTCAGCGTGTGCGGGTTGCCCTGGCGCCCGAGGGAGCCCAGGATGAGACCCCACTTCTGGGCCTTGCGGGCGGTGGCGATGGCGGTCCGCCGGAGCGTGTACATCTCGTCGTGCTCGTACGTCTCGCGGGTGAGCTTCCGCGAGTACGGGTCGTATCGGTAGGCGGGTATGGAGGGGTTGTGGATCATGATGCTCTCGAGGTGGAAGCGGCCGTCGCCGAGGTAGAGGATCAGGTCAATCTTGTCGTCGGTGTGGAGCTTGGGCGACGTGCAGCCCAGGATCTCGCCCTTGCTGAGGGGTGCGATCTGGGGGACGAGGACCTGGAAGCCGGCGCGCTCGAGGCTGCTCCGGACGCCGTGGATAGTCGCGTTGAACTGAATCGTCCCGACGACCGCAATCGTCTTGCCCGAGGCAAAGTTCCGTTCCAGTGATGCGAGGAGGTGTGAGGTGTCGATGCTAATGTCCACAAACACGTACAGCGTCTTAATCTTGGTGACGTCGACAGGGATGAGGCAGCTGTGGGCGTAGTGCACCAGCAGGTCGCAGCCGAGGGCCCTGGCGGTGTAGTCGTCGATGCAGCAGGCGCCGTAGGTGACGTCTCCCATGATCAACGTCTCGATGCCCGGGCAGAACTGCGTGAGGATGTCGGAGATGGTGGTGGCGAAGAGCAGGAGACCCTCGGGCATCTGGAGGGCCACCTTGGTAGCCCCCGACGTCCGGATGCGATGGATCGTCTTGGGGATCTCAAAGGAGTAGTTGGCGGGGAGGATGGCCACGGCAGCCTTGAGATTCGGGTCCTCTGTGATCTCCTTGGGCACCTGGTTTAACAAACGAGGGGCACGCCGGGATTTGGCAGCTGTACACATGTATTTTGTCAGTCTTGTGAGGTCTCGCGTCGCTCATTCATTCATTCATTCATTCAAGGGGTGCCTGAGAAGGGGTGCCTGAGAAGGGAACTTGAACTCACGCCCAACGGCTCCAGCTTCACCACCCGCGCCGCCATCCTTCGCCTTGGAGGAAGCCTCGGCCGCCGTTCTCCGCCCGACAAAGCGCTTCTTTGGTTGCCTGACGACGTTCTCTGCTGACTTTGGCGGCTGCTGGGTCCCGCTCACTGAAGGTACTGATGGTTCTGCGGGTGGTTGAGACTCCGAGGCTTCTTCGTGGCGCTGCGCCTCTTCGATGTCGGCGGCGATGCCCAGATCGGTCTGCGCGCGATCTTCCTCCATTTTTATGTTTATGCCAAGCAATAGATCCAGGAATCGGTATCCAGGCTCGTGTGGTTGTCAAGATGATGGAGATGGTGGTCTTTGTCAGGCGGATGTGGGATGGTGGGGCAGTATTTTGCTGGCGACAATTTTTTGGTTTCCATTTCTCCAAGTCCGAACGATCACTCATCATGTCCTCCATAACGGCATAAGCATACAAGATATCATCGGCGTGGGCTGTTCATCTTTGCACATTCATCACTGATGAATATGGAAGATCAATATAGCTGTCATTGCCTCATCATTGCCTCGAAAAACGACACTCCTAGCCGAGTGGACTAATAGCTACTACCTATGTATGGTGTCCACCAACGCATCTACTCGTCCGCCTCGTCCACGGTAAAGTGGTACCTCGCCCGCAGGACATACGGGTCGTCGCCGGGCCCAAAGATCTGCTTCTTCTCCCTGAACCAGGCCGGGTTGTTGATGCCGTCAATGTAGTCCTGGACCTCCATGACGACGCAGCCGTACTGGGGGATGGTGCGGGGGAAGTCCTCCTCGTCGTCGATGCCCTGCGACTGCTTGAGCGCGAGCGTGCCGTCCTGGCCGTTGCACGAGTAGATCTGGAAGGCGTCCTGGTCCGAGTAGACCTCGATGCCAATGCCGGACCAGTTGGAGTGCAGGACGGCCACGGGCGAGTGCGTGCGCCAGTCGTAGTTGCCGAGCTGCTGGCGGTTGACCGTGTAGCAGTTGTCGTAGCCCTTGCAGCCGTAGCCACAGTTGCCCTCGAGCTCGTCGCCGTCAAAGGAGGCGCCGAGCTGCTTGGACTTGGACCAGAAGTCATTGGCGCTGCCCTTCTCGTTGGCGAGGATCGCGCCGGTCGGGATGAGGATGTTGTCGACGGCAACGCGCTGGCCGCTGTAGGGCAGTTGCAGGGTGTGGTTGAGCGCGAGGCTCGTCTCGTTGTTGGCGAAGCCGTCGAGGTTCCAGTACGCGTGGCTGCTGAGCATGATGGGGGTCTTCTTGGTTGTGGCCAGGGCGACCATGCTAATGTCCCAGTCGCTGCCGTTGACGGTGTAGGTCACGTAGGAGATGACCTCGCCGGGGAAGCCCTCCTTGCCGCTAGGGTCGACGATCTTGAAGGTGACGCTGCTGTCGGTGTGGGCCTCGACGGTGAAGTTGCGCCAGCCCCAGCCGTCCTTGCCACCGTGGAGGGTGTCGAGGCCATCGGGGTGCTCCTCGGTGGGGTTGTCGTTGAGAGAGGCCTGGTACTTCTCGCCGTCAATCTCAAAGGTGCCGTTCTTGATGCGGTTGGCATATCGTCCGGGGACGGAGCCGTAGTTGGGGTGCTGCTCGTCGAGCGTGTAGTAGGTGGCATTGTCCCAGCCGGCGACGATGTCGCGGGTGACGCCGTACTTGTCCTTGATGTGCAGGTCCGAGATGGAGGCGCCGTAGGGGACAAAGCCAATCTTCATGACCTCGCTTTGGATCCAGTACTTGCCGTCCTCATCGGGCGGGAAGCCAGTGTCGTTGCGAGCAGCGGCACCGAGGCTGGGGAGGGCCAGGGCCGCAACCAGGCCGGCGACCTGTGTCTTGAGCTGCATAACGGGATGCCTGGACAGTCTTGTTTGACGATTACCAAGGTGAAGATGGTCAATGGCACGGTAGGTCAGCAGGAGCAACCGGAGGAGGTCTGTCAGCCGGGGGCGTCATGCGGTATAAGTACTGGCATGGCTAAACGACGCGCGCAAGTGATCAGCAAGGAACCGCCATCACTCCCAACGTCGTATCCGTGCGCGCCCGTAGAGTCACTAGAGTAGCCGGCTGCTTCGCGGTGCTTCGCAGAAAAGGCCACCATCGTGTGGGCGTGAGACTGGGACCTGACCTGGATCCTGGGGTCGGGGACTCCAGTCGTGTTCGGCACCTGCCAAAGGGAAATGCGCCGCTCCAATGCGCCTTCCGAGCTAATCACAGAGTCATCGTGAACGGCATGGGTCAGGATCGTTTGTTTAACCGGTCGAAACCGCCCCAATGACAAGTGGTGAAGCTCGGAGTCTCGCCCCATTAGAGCTCAGAATGCGTCGGTCTGGTCGTTTCTTCCCCGCGTGGAGAACGGTCCAGAGACAGGGTTGGACGTTGGATTGCAGAATGCTGGCATTGCTGGGGGGCCTCCGGAGGCGGAAAGAAAAGGATGCTGTGGAGGAGAATTATCATTGAGTGGTTGTTGGTCGCCAACTTCTGCCGCCATGATGTCAGCCACCGGCAAATGCATTCATTCATCCGTCTCAGTTCCTGTGATGTGCTCCCCAACAGCCTACATGTATCTGTCCTGTGTCGTGGCATGCCCAACGTGCCCAGTCTCTCAGGGACGAAGAGTCGCTCGTGAATCCGACTCGCAACCCCGAATTCACACCACCTATGATCTGGCATGGAGGAACTCGTGGTCATAATAACAGCTAGCTCTGCCGATCAGTTTGTCTCCCAGCACGGCTGAGGCGACGACATGGTCCTCCACATCCAATCCCGATGACAAGATTGGTGCGCATCCGCGTCCATTCTCCTCACGGACATACGTTCGTTCCGGCACCACAGAATCCATGCGTCGTCGCACGGCAAATACCTAACCCCAGTCTACAGCCGTGCGGGGTCCCCGGCCCGCTCTCTGTGTACACGCAAAGCAGGTTGCGGAGAGGCATTGTGAAATTGTGGTAAACAGGCGAGGTAAACAACCCTTCTACCCCCGTCAATGAAGCCATTGCGGTGCCGCTATCCGAAGTCGGACTGTGTTGCCCCGACGCCGTGATGCCCTGCGCCGCGGCAGCTTCTCTTTAGCATTTAAACTGATGAGTTACGGCAGCATGGTCGACCATGTTGGGCTCGGTCTTTGATGAACAGCCCATTTCCCTGGTTCTAGTTAGCGAGCGGAATCGGCCCTTAGAGTCGAACATGGATTTGACCGTGGCTGATGCGTGCGCTCGACCAAAGTACAGTTTCAACAATGTGGATAATAGTACCAGTATAGGCATCGTGCTAGCAGACAATCGGCTTTCTTTGTGCTTCGGTATACACAACATGGCTCCCTTGGGTAGAGTGTCTGACACTCTCCCCATCCACCTGCGACTTCCTTTCCTTCAGCCTCGTCCTGTTCCCGAACCTCGACCTCTTCCGTTCTACGCGTCGATCAAGTTCTCCTCGGTCTGCTGGTTGTTGGCCGCGTCGGCATCCGCCTTTTGCTTGCCCTTGGACTTGGCGTCCTTCTGCGCACGCTGGTAGTACTCGTTGAGCACCTTGGCGGGAATACGGTTCAGCAAATCCTTGGGGAAAATGCGGAGCAGGCTCCACGCCAAGTCCAGCGACTCGAAGATCGTTCGCGACTCGTAGGGGCCCTGCGAGATGAACTGGCGCTCAAACTTGTCCAGGAACTCCAGGGACAGCTTGTCTTCGGGCGACAAGGCCTCCTCACCGACGACGGCCTTCATGGCGGACGCGTCACGACCAATGGCGTACTTGGCGTACAGCTGATTCGACACATCACCGTGGTCTTTGCGTGTCATGCCCTCGCCAATGGCAGACTTCATCAGACGCGAGAGCGAAGGGAGCACGTTGATGGGCGGATAGATACCACGGTTGTGCATCGGCTGGTCGACGAAGATCTGACCCTCGGTAATGTATCCCGTCAAATCAGGGATGGGATGGGTGATATCGTTGTTCGGCATAGTCAAGATGGGGATCTGGGTGATGGAACCGTTGCGGCCCGTCACACGACCAGCGCGCTCGTAGATGGTCGACAAATCCGTGTACATGTAACCCGGGAAACCACGACGTCCAGGCACTTCCTCGCGGGCGGCTGACACCTCACGCAGGGCATCGCAGTACGCCGACAGATCAGTGAGGATGACAAGGACGTGCTTCTCAAGCTGGTAAGCGTAGTATTCGGCAGTCGTGAGGGCGAGACGGGGAGTGATGATACGCTCGATGCTGCTCGCTGTTAGCCTCTGTCTAATGGGCGGAACCGTGATACCTACGTAGGATCGTTCGCAAGGTTGAGGAAGAGGGTAGTGCGCTCCAGCGAGCCATTCTCCTCGAAATCACGCGTGAAGAAACGGGCTGTTTCCAAGTTGACACCCATGGCACCAAAGACAATAGAAAAGTTGTCCTCGTGCCCGTCGTGGGTACCCTTGTTGGTAATGCCCTGCTTCTGGACCAGACTGGCCTGTCGGCAGATCTGGGCGGCGATTTCGTTGTGAGGCAAACCGGCAGCGGAGAAAATGGGGATCTTCTGTCCACGGGCGATCGAGTTCATCGTATCGATGGCAGAGATACCAGTCGAGATCATCTCCTCGGGATATTCCTACGCCTGTGAGCATGTACACCCTTGTCTGCCTGCCTGGGGAGCAGTGGCTCGACGTACACGAGAGAAGGGGTTGATGGGACTTCCGTTGATGTCGAGGTAGTCCTCGGCCAGGACGCGGGGGCCCTTGTCTATGGCGCGACCGGAACCGTCAAAGATACGGCCAAGCATGTCCTCGGACACACCGAGCTTCAAGCTCTCGCCGGTGAACTCGACCCTAGTCTGTCATATCTCAGCATGTAATTGGTATCTTTGCCAGTACAGCAGTGTCCTACCTTTTTGACATCGATGCCAGAGGTCCCCTCGAAAACCTGGGCAGTATATCGTCAGCGAATTGGAATTGGGCTCGATGGCCATTTCAAAAGTACCTGGACAACGGCTCGGTCACCTATGCGCAGAATAGTCAGCCAAATGTCCTAGCGAGAGAGTCGCAATCAGTGGGATTCTTACCGCGGGCCTCGAGGACCTGTCCAGAGCGCTCCGTGCCATCAGGCAAGGTGAGCGTCACAATCTCGTTGAACTTGGGGTATTTGACCTGTGCCGCCATCAACATGTGCCCATCTTTCACCCAGACGCCGGGAAGCCCATACATTGTCGAGGATGACCAGAGGACCGTTGATACCACCGACGGTGTTGTAACGAATCCTCGGTACGACCGAGTATGACGACGAGTCCCCCATGGCGGGCAGCGAAGATCGAGTGGAAAGGGAGTGGCGGCGGATGATGGTCTAGAGCCCTGCGACTGAGGTGCTTCCTGTTCAGCGCTGTGTCGAGGCGGCGTAATCTAAATCGGCCTCGAAGTCGGGGGACGGGACGTGGAGATAAGTCGGACGGGATGAGGTTGGGTCAAACAACGACGTACGTCCGGCCGTTGGTGGATTGAAGGAGGTCGACTGGAGCTCCAGTCGTCGTTGCTGAGAGAGTGGGGCGAGCTGCTGCGGTCGACGCACGGGGTGGAGCTGGGCGCCGATAGGTAACTGGGAAGGCACGACCTGTGACATCACATGACCCTCGTGGAAGTGCATCCATGATATGGACTCGTCTTCGAGCTGGTGGTTTCTTCATGTTCTCTGGAAATAATGGTCATGAAAGCAAGATCAAGAGGTCCGTCTGTCTCACACAAGCGAGGTTAAGCTGGGGCCGCTTGAGCACGCCAAGACCAGCGGAACGAACAACGCAGACCGCGGACATGGGAGCTCACTTGTCATGGCCCCCACCTACAGAAATGAAGTTGATCTGTTTATTGTAAATTCACCTAGTAGGACAAAACTACAGCTTAGCCTTTGAAGTGGCCGCGTCCCTGGCCCTGGCCCCCAGGACCGCCTTGCCGACAGTGCTGTCGTTGGGCCTGCCCAACTCGCCCGAGATCCACGCTCCAATATCAGCCACAGCATCCAGATCAACACCCGTGTCCATGCCCAGCGTCTCCATAAAGTACACCATGTTCTCCGTGGCGACGTTGCCCGTCGCGCCAGGGCTGTACGGGCACCCGCCTAGACCACCGACGCTGCTGTCAAAGATCCGGACGCCGTGCTCGAGCGACACGGCCGTGTTGACCAGCGCCTGGCCGTAGGTGTCGTGGAAGTGCATGGCAATGTCCTCCGTCCGGAGGCCCGCCGCGGAGAGGCTCCTGAGCAGGGCGCTGGTGCGTGGCGCCGTGCCCATGCCCGTCGTGTCGCCCAGCGAGATCTCGTCCGCGCCCGACTCGAGCAGATCCGTCGCGATCTCGGCGACGCGGTGGGGGTCCACGTCGTAGCCCTCAAACGGACATCCGAGCACAACGGAAATATAGGCCCTGACACGCATGCCCATCCCCTTGGCATCCTGGATCACCTCCTTGAAGCGCTCCAGGGAGGTCTTGATGTCACAGTTGAGGTTCTTCTGGGAGAAGCTCTCCGTGGCCGCCGCAAAGACAGCCATCTCAACCGCGGGCTTGTTGATGTGTTCGTGGATATTGGCAGGGCTATTCTGCGTAGAGTAGGCGTCGGGGTTCTTCGCCAACAGCGCGGCCGCATTCTGCAGACCCTTGGTGTTGGGCGCCAGGAAAGAATACGACACAGGCACAGGGGACTGGATCTTCTTCTGTAGTATATGCTCCAGTATCTCGCTCGAGTTGGCCATCTGCATCGCGAGGCGTCAGTCATCAATTGTCTCCTACCCATCTACCGCTCGATAGCCTGTCGCACTGACCTGTGGCACCCACTTCGGCGCGACAAAGGACCCGGCCTCAATGGTCGACAAGCCCGTCTTGGCTAGTCGCTCGATCAGGTCGATCTTAGTGGCCAGCGGTATGACCTTTTTCTCGTTCTGTAGTCCATCGCGAGGTCCAACCTCGACAAGCTTCACAAAGTTGCTTGAAGTGCCGCCGGTCGCAAAGCCACGCTGCATGCGCAACGATGCTCGCGCGGGCTGTCGACACGCTCGACAAATCGATGTTCGGAGGAGAGTCATATTGACGTGGTCGTGTTTGCAGACTCGCGACAGGAACGAGAGCGTTGCCTCAATTGTTAGTTGGTGAGGAGGCCCTGGGGGTGGCTCGAGCCTGGGTCGAGCTCTTGTCCAATGCCGGTCTGTCGCCTACCGTCGGCTTTCGCAATGCACAGCTACTACCGTACCGGATGCAGCCAGAACAGCACCAGATCCTGACGAATTAAAAATGCATGATATGTACGCAGTCTTCTTTCCCTCACGACATTCCTGGTCGACATGTTGCGTCTAGAATTTTATTATAACGAAATTAAAGGCGCCCTCGGCTATAATTTTGTAAAGAAGATACACTACCTGTCTGTATGTGTGGGGGGGGTGACAGACTATAGTAGAATTGGTACTCTAACCGCAGAGTCAAAGGCTTGCAAAATCATCTCGCCGACAATCTCTAAAAGTCTAGTACTCGGCCTCAAGCTCCTCCTCGCCCATCGAGTCAGCGGCGACCTCCTCGTAGTCGCGCTCCAGGGCAGCGAGATCCTCACGGGCCTCGGAGAACTCGCCTTCCTCCATACCCTCACCAACGTACCAGTGCACAAAGGCGCGCTTGGAGTGCATGAGGTCGAATTTGGCAGACAGGGAGGACCAGGCCTCGGCGATGGCAGTGGTATTGGACAGCATGCAGCTAGAGCGACCATTAGTCTTTTGGCCAGTTGGAAAATTTAAAGGTGGACTTACACGGCACGCTTGACCTTGGCGAGATCGCCGTTGGGCACGTTCTCGGGAGCCTGGTAGCAGATACCAAGCTTGAAACCAGTGGGGCACCAGTCGACGAACTGAATAGTGCGCTTGGTCTTGAGGGTGGCAACCGCACCGTGGGCTTCCTTGGGGACAACGTCGCCGCGGTACAGCAGGCAAGTGGCCATATACTTGCCCAAGCGGGGATCACACTTGACCATCTGGTTGTTGGGCTCGAAGCAGGCCATGGTCATCTCCTGGACAGAGTTGGCCTCGTGGGCGGCCTTGGCCGCGGAGACGACAGGCGCGTAGGCAACCAGAGGGAAATGAATGCGGGGGTAAGGGACCAAGTTGGTCTGGAACTCGTTCAAGTCGACGTTGAGGGAGCCGTCAAAGCGGAGCGAGGCGGTGATGGACGACACGACTAAAAAAGATTAGCATCACTCCAAAGGTCCCGGGCGCGGGGGATTCCTTACCCTGAGCGATCAAGCGGTTCAAGTTCTCATAGTTGGGGCGCTCGAGGCCAAGGTTGCGGCGGCAGATGTCGTAGATGGCCTCGTTGTCGACCATGAAAGAGCAGTCAGAGTGCTCCAGAGTGGTGTGGGTTGTGAGGATGGAGTTGTAAGGCTCGACGACCGAGGTGGCGGTCTGGGGAGCAGGGTAGACGCAGAACTCGAGCTTGCTCTTCTTGCCGTAGTCGACGGACAGGCGCTCCATGAGCAGGGCACCGAAACCAGAACCAGTTCCACCACCGAACGAGTGGAAGACGAGGAAGCCCTGCAGACCCACGCAGTTGTCGGCAACACGGCGAATCTTGTCGAGGACACCCTCAATGAGTTCCTTGCCGACGGTGTAGTGACCGCGGGCGTAGTTGTTTGATGCGTCCTCCTTGCCGGTGATCATCAACTCGGGGTGGAACAGGTTGCGGTAGGTGCCAGTGCGGACCTCGTCGACGACATTGGGCTCGAGATCGCAGTAGATGGTGCGTGGGACATACTTGCCCTGACCTGCGTTCCATGTCAGTGTGAGTGCGGCGAGACAACGCAGCTCGCTGTCTGTCGTCGTCGAGACGTACCAGTCTCAGAGAAGAAAGTGCTGAAGCCCTGGTCGGGGTCCTCAGCCTTGCGCTCATCGGTGAGGTAACCATCAGGCTATTGTGTGGTCAGTTGGTGGTCTTGTGATGGCGTGTCGTCGGAGCATCGCTTTACCTGAATACCGTGCTCGAGGCAGTAGAGCTATCAGAATGTCAGATCAGGGTACAGTGCGGACAGCTCGCGCCAAAGGGGTTTGGAAGAAAAACATACCTCCCAGCAGGAGTTGGCGATCTGGCAACCAGCCTGGCCGACTATAGCATGATGTCAGCATATTTCAGTTCCGGCCAGCGGCCGCTGGTAGCAGCGGTGTGCGAACGACGCGTTCTCCCACGAGCCTGGGTGCCCACTACTCACCGTTGATGCTGATAACCTCACGCATGGTGCAAGTTTTGACGGAGACCTTTTATGATTCGAAGACGAACTGGGCAGCAACGAAAGCAGGCCGATAGACAGAGGGTGGAGAGTCGTATATGAGCGGCGAGGATGGAGTGCAAGAAGAAAGGAAGAGGTTCGGGTTCGTCGACGTTGGGTAGATGAAAATAGGTGGGGGAAATTTGGCCTGGACAGGGGTTCGCCGGCGGGTGGCTCTGGTGTTTGCCGGGCCAGCGCGCGGATTTGTTGATTTCCACGACCGACGTGTCTCGATGGGGTAAGCGCGTCTGCACTGGCAGCTGTTCAAATCAGCTTCACCGCTGGTGGGCGGTAGATGACAATCTTATCGTATCACAACCTCAAATGTGCGTGGCAGTATGGAGGCCGCCTCCAGGTCTCTTCTGGCCCCTGGGTGAAGCCTCTGGTCACAGTTGTATTTGATACACGGCCGCCGTATCGCGAAGGATTTATTACTAGGATTGAGCTGTCAAATAATTAGGCTGCCTGGGGTCGGTGATATCGGGGGGGCACCCATGTGCACTACTCGCACCGCCACATGTTCTCGCCAGCCACATTTGTTCTCCAGTCTTACCTTACACACAGTCCAACTATCTCAGGACTCAGGCTCCAGTCATTCAAGACGCTGCAATGTGATTCCATCAACAACAACAATGTGGATTGGCCTGCTTCTTCTGTGCCTTGCGGCGCCCCTTGTCATTGCCAATGTGGAAAAGGCTATCTTCCTGGGTCCCCCGTCGATCAATGTCCCGCTGCAACAGCCCACCCTGTCAAGCCTCAACCTGGACACCCTGACACCAAAGAACTCCATGATTCGCACACAGCTCCCGAGAAGTTTCCAAAGAGGAAAGTCACCGGGCCAGACAAAATGGCTCATACTTGACGGGTTGACAGAGGGTCAAAGATATGAGCTCCGTGTCTGCTGGTCAGCCATGGTAAGCAGTGCCACCATTGGAGCCTCCTCCAGGGCGCATGCTCACAGTCTATTAAGGAACCAACCGCCTTTGATATTGAGACTTTTGATGTCGAACATGTCTTCGAGACGCCAGAACTCATACAATCCCTCTCAGACTTTGCATACTCCCGGGTCGGGACGGCAGCTGATCCTGCTGATGTGACCACGAATGAGACGGAAAAGACTTCCTCTGTTCTGTTTGTGCGCATCATCACAGCGGCAGACTACTACTCAGATTATACCGAACTCATGGAGAACCCACCGCCTGTGCTGGTTGACCTCATTCTCGACCCGTTCCTCTTCAACGTCTTGCCACGCTCACTGCTTCCGACTGGAGGCTATATAGTCTGCGTCGCTATCGCTGCGTGGTTTGTTGCCAGCTACATCACCTCAAAGGTAAAGTCCTTCGCGGAGGGCTCGAGCACAATGGAGAAGAAGAAGCAGTAATCGGAATTTTCCTTTGGTCATCATATACTGCATATAAGCTAATACCGTCATTCCCTCGGTCTACCTTAACGTTCGCAACAAAACAAAGAACAGCAGTTCAGCCGACCCTGGACAAATCATTATTCATGCATCTTTCGTAGAGTTCTTTCTACTCCTGCAACAAAGGAAATAGGCCTGGTTGTGATATCCAGGCATGTGACACGTGCAGGGAAATCATCGTTCGCCAACGTCCAAATGGAAAACCGACACCGTAGGCTCTATACTTCTCTCCCTCGGTGCCGCGCCAACATCTCAGTACGGGTAGCCACCACCATGCGACTGCTGTTGTGGCTGGCCAAAGTGCTGGCCGTGCGGTTGACCATAGGATGGCTGACTGCCATACGGCTGTTGCTGCCCGGGATAACCGCCATAGCCAGCCGGGGGTGCACCGGCTGGTGGGTTGTATTGTGGCGCATGTCCTCCTCCTTGTTGCGGGGCCCCATAGCTTGGCTGCTGTCCGTATGCGTGTGACCCTGGCGGAGGAGGCTGGGAGCTGTTGTGATCGTAGCCTCCGAACTGCTGCTGGCCTGGGGGAGGGCCCTGGGGCGCCTGGTAATTTTGATGGTGAGAAGGGCCTGTCGACGATGGCTGAGAGTACGTCTGGTGGGTGTTGAGGGATTGCTGGTGCTGATGCTGACCCGGCGCAGGCGAACCGTACCCTTGCGCTGATGAACCTGGAGGAGGGCCGCCTGACGAGCCAGGAGGCTGATATGTCGGTGCTTGACCGGAGTACCCACCATTGCTGCCTCCATTTGGCCCCGAGTTCGAGTAGCCATAGCCCTGGGCCTGTCACACTTCTGTCAGTAATCGATACTTTGCGAGGCCACTGAGTCCACCTACACCACCACTACTATCATGTCCTGGCTTGTTACTGCCAAAGAGGTTCGTGACGCCCCCCATGACAGCGCCAGCCAACCCTCCACCGGGCGAGTGCGAGGACTGTCCCGCCGTCGATCCGCCGTGGTAATTCTGACCGTGCCCTGACTGGCTCGACGGCTTGTTCGAAGAGGACAGGAAACTAGAGGCAAGCTGCCCGACCAGCTTGCCGGCCGAGTTCTTACCAGAGCCGCCATGCCCGCCGCTGCTGTGGCCGTGCGATCCTCCGCCCCCTCCCAGGAACTGGCTAGCCAGGCCGCTCAGTGGACTTGAGGAGGAGTTGTGACCGCCGCCGCTCTGACCGTGCTTACCGCCCAGGAGCGCATTCATAGCCATGCTCTACACCACGCGACCAGTGTTAGCCGCGCTCTCGCTGAAGCGCGCCGTGGCCAAGGGAAACTTACCCCGAGTCCCCTGTCTCCGCTGGGTCCATCGCCCCCCCTCATACCGTCCGGCAATATCGGCTCCATCGTGCCATCGGCGTGGCGCATCGTCTGCGATCCGTCCGGGTGCGTGATGAGCTGGGGAGGCGGTGGTCCGCCCGGTGTGCCGTAAGGGTGATCTGGCACGGGGACAGGCGTGTTGCCCGTCTGCGCAGCCTCGGTAGGAATCTCCCATTGCGACACGCCCGTCGCGAGTTGGACGTAGTAGTATTTCTTGCTGGCGCCATCCCACTGCGCGATCCAGCCTGCGGGGAGCGGTGGCGGGGCAAACGTGGGACCGTCGGCGTTGGGGGGTGAGGCTGGACCTGCCATGGTGGGAAGGGGTGTCCTCGAGGGACTGGGTTGGGCGTCGAAGAAGGATCGAGGATGTGTTGTAGAGAAGAGGACGCTGCGTATTTGGGGGAGAAAAAGAAAGGGAGTGAATGCAGACCCGGAAGTGGGAGAAGGTTGGAACGACGGATGGGGTGCCGGGCTGATGTAGGTCAGTGGGCTGGTCCCTGGAGGGTCCTGGTCCTTCCTGGGTGCCCGCGCCACAGCGGGCTGAAAGTCAACAGACTGGAAATGAAAGCCTGTCGGGCGGCGAGTAGTTTGAATTTGGATTGATTCGGCGTGTGAGATAGGGCTCACGTCGCTGAACTCTAAAGATCAGCGAAATTCAACCACTGTGGCCGCCCATCAGTCTTGCCGGATGGGGATGGCCTCATCCACGTAGTGTCTAAGCCACATCTTCACCATCGCGTGGCTTGGCTTTATATCCGTAAGGAAGTTCAGATCAGCTGGCAACCATGTCGTGCGGCAAGGCATTCTTTTTTGTAAGTTTAAAAACCATGAATCTCTCATGCGCCGCGCGGAAAAGACACTATTTAATTCAATTGACACAAAGTGTGAGTTAAACGCCATCCAAAGGCGAGGGGACGGCACAGTGCCCACAGTCTTGGCACTGTACATGCATGTCACGCACCATGCATCTTCATTTTCATACATCACTGACAGGGCTTGTTTTGACCTGAACATTACCACGGCAATTTCACGCATGTAGCACAGGCAAAGGTATGTCTTCCTCGTCTTCATTGTATTTTCGTCCTGTCAGAGGACCTGCTATTTGCAGACTACGACTTGAATCCGTAGTCCCCCTAGCCACCGTCCCCTCCTCCAAATACCGAGAGTAAACCAAACAAGCGACCCTGGCACGCGGCCCGTCGCGAAAAGCAAAGGAAGCGAGAGACTATGTCCAATCCTTTCCCACGCATTCGGTGAGAAAAGAAAAAAAGTATGTACTGGAATCGAAACCCGGAGCAGAAGTCGTCGACCCAGTCGTTGTGACTTTGCACTTCCATCTTGTTCCATCAACCAGCAGCCACCAGGAGCTGCGTCAAGCGAGCGAATCTGGGAATAGGAGAAACCTCCTTACACCCGCGCCTGCCTTGCAGCAATGCGAGAGGCACGGAGCACCTTGCCGTAGTTTGGGGCGGGCGACCTGGCGCGAGCAATGATGAGAGAGTCAGACCTACCGACCTTGCACACGGTACCAGCATAAGGCGCCATGCGGTCGGACCAGATGCCCGAAGCACAGCGCTGGTACGAAGTGCCCTCGTCGATGCAGTTCCACTCACCCTCCCTGTCGCATGCAGAGCCGATGTCCATGAGGCCTTCATCAGACTGGCCGTCGTCTTTGTCGCCGGCATCATCGTTGGTGGGCGCGGGGGGATCGGCCGTGCGGACGCTGGTGGCGAGCGTAGTGGGCTTGTCGCTGGCAGGAACGGTAATGAAGACACCGCCAGGGCTGCTTGTTGGTGAGTTGATGTTCTTGCTTGCGGAAGACGAAGGAGGCAGTGAGGGCATGGTCGGAGAGACCGAAGGTGAGGAAGAGGGAGGGGTGGGGGATACTGACATTGTCTTAGTAGGCTTGGGCTCTGCGGTCGTGGGCTGCTCAGGCTCCTGGGGGGCCTCGGGCTCGGGCTGGGGCTCAGGCTCAGGAGCAGGGGCTTTGGCGCCTTCCGCGCAGGTACCAGTGGGAGGAGCAGTCTGGTCCTGCGGCGTCTTGCGAGTGACATCGGGGCCGGGGTTGGGGAACTCGAGGTCCTTGGTCTCAGTAGTACCGCAGCCGTTGCCCACGTTGGCCACGAACATCGCAGGACGGGAGGCGAAGGCATCCCCAGCGGCGCGAGCATCGACGTCGGCGCGCTTCTTGCCTCCGCCAATGGTCACGACAGCGCAATTCATGTACATCTCGCGGTTACCAATCTTGTTGAACCAGGACCAGCCGAACAGGGCTTCACCAGCAGGGGTATCGTTGGGGACGGTGAAGTCGTAGTTGGTGTCGCCGGCGGAGATGGGGCAGTTGCCAATGTACGAGTGGATGACGGTCCAGGTCTTGCCGCTGTCGTAGGAGAGGGAGGCCTGGCACGAGCCGCCGTCGTGGGGGGTGCCGCCGGTGATGGTGAAGGTGTAGGTCTGGCCAGGCTGGTAGTTGACGACAGACTGGCCCTGGGGGGTGCCCATCAGACTGTGGTAGCCCTTGCAGGGGAAGTTGGACCCACCCGCGTCGAGAGGGCTGGTCATGGAGTAGTCGACGTCGGTGGTGAAATCGTTGAACTTGGATCGAAAGGGTGGAGGGTTCTTCATCTCCATGTGAGCTGAGGCCAGGCCAGCCAGGCCAAAGAGGGCGCCGAGGATGCCAGCGTTCATCTTCATGATTGCGGTTTGGTTGCGAGTGCGTTGCGTGTTTGTGAAGGGTAGGTAAGGGGTGCTTGATTTGTTGCTTGAGTGTGGGTGAAGGAGTGGTATCGTTTGGAGACCGCAAAGACAGTCTATGATATTTATTTGCAAGGTGCTCTTGGGTGTGCGATGTGGGCTGCGTCAGATATGGTGTTTCCCAGTGAACGCGCAGGTTCAGATGAAGTGAGGGTCACGTTCGGGTGAGCGGTCACGCGTGGTGGGTTGTTCAGTGAATCGTGTTTTCGAAAGAGAGGCTGCTGGTGGTGAACACTGTCAAAGTATCGACGTCAGATGTTGCTGTTCTGAAAGGAAGGTGTTCTGAAAGGAGGGTACAAGTACGTCTCAAAGGTAGATCAAGCACCAGGCTCTGGGGAGACAAGAAGAAGCAGATGGGGGACTGCACTGGGACAGCAGACGCGGCGTCACGACGGGTTTAAGTACAAGCTGGGTGTCTGCCGTCGATGGGCCAGTCACCGGGGAAAAAGGTGTAAGAGTTGTTTGGTGCGACATTGCATCTCACCCTACTATGGATACTCACGAATCCTTCCTTGGTCTCGGATGTCCATACTTCCTAGAGTCTAGATGCATCATACCCACCGACTCACTCATTGCACGCGCTTATGGCCGGTTCCTGGCACCCGACGACACGCCAGTCCATGGGATGTGGGAGCTCTCACCAGACTAAGTGGCTACAGGAGGTTGCTACACGATACATACCAGGGTATGGCTAGGAACCACTCGTGCATCCACCCCGAGGCCCCCTGGCCATCAGAAGATATGTTACGTTGTAAGTTACTTGCCTCTTGCGGACTGCCCTGTCTCTGCCTACTACCTTGCATTCGTAGTCGCGCCAGACGCGTGAGAGAAGTTTCACGGCATGGCGGCTGCCATTGGTGCGCAGCAGCCGCTGGGCGAGCAGCAGCGTAATGGAGCCATGTGCTGAATGTCTCAAGTGTCGTGGCGTCTGGTTGAATCTAGCACGGCTGAACCTACCAGGTAATTATCCGCCCGCGCCCGGTTACCGGTTGTCATCCGCTGTTCCTGAATATCTGTTTTAATTCACCAACGAATCGGGTCCCAGAGCATGCGCCCAGACATTCAGGTACGTTGCTTCGGGGGGGAGGGGAGAGGGGAGCTTTTGCAGCGGCCCCATTGTTCGATGCGCCGCTGTCTGGTCTAGCCGCCACCCCTGAGCCAATCAACCACCTGCGCGCCTAGACTCTCGAAACAACGTCGACTCTGGACTTCATGTTCATCCTGGAAACAAAGACCCCCGTTGTGTGTCTCCTTTGCTTGGTATGTCAGATTTCATTGTCTCAGGACTCTAGTCACCGGCGGACAAAACAATGCGCCTACACAAAGCGATTTGGCAACAGGGTAGGTTGTGTTGACAGGGACCGCTGTAATGAACATTGAAGCTGGTGCGTGCATTACTTTTGCCGCATACGTACTTGGGTATATATATCGGTGATCCTCACGGCATAATTGTATCAGCTTCAGTCACATGCATCGATGGAACAGTGCTAACCAAGACCGGAGCTGAGAGTTACCCGAGAAAACCATGGAGACTGCATACCCTGCATCACCTGCCCTATTCCGACAGGCGTCATATCGACCCTGGCAGCAGCGAATGCTTGCGTGATGATCGCCCCATCAGCCATTCGAGCGCGAGCGTTCAACTGTTGGCAAACGAATATACGACTCGGGTGAACAGTCGACGCTATTACAGCAGTCGTCATCCATCTCGCTTCATGACATGTGTTAATGCGACGCCCGATGAGAGGGCTGATGTGCCCTCATGATCATGCCACGTGCCAGCAGGTAGAGCAAACACGCGTGGCCGACTTCCGTTTCTAAAATTTCTTTGATCGACACGATCAATGTGAAGAGCGTGATCTACATGACTTATCACAGATTTAACACCATAGGAGAAGTACTTAGTGGTTTGTGCACCCTTGCCGAACCCCTATCCTGCCGATCCCCCGGCACCAAACCCTGCGCAACAGTCGTTTCAACTTTCGACTCTCGAGGAACAAGTGAACCTTGCCTAGATACCTTGACGTAATCCGGTATTCAAGTTCAGGACTGCGTCGCAAGTGTAATTTTTTCTTAGTCATGGGGCGTCAATGCAGGTCCCGCGCTTGTGTGGACTTTGCTCATCCCTGGGCGGCAAGCTGCATGGTTTTCTGAGGACACACGACTGTCTCAAGGCTGTTTCAACGATTCTGATCTACAGATCCTCAAGTCTCAACGGTATAGCTGGTACCACGATAATTTTGCTGTTTATGGTCTGAAGATACGACTGCTGCCAGTCTGTGACCTATTGGTACCTCCGCTGACTTCGACCTTGCTGGAGGAGTTGCATGCAGCAATGCCGAGCTGATCATCCACTTGGCACTCCGAGCCTCTAATCTTGACCCAGCATCCCTGATCGCTGCCATCCGTGGGTTCTGCGTCGCATATACAGCAAGCTATTACCCACGTTAGGCCATTCCAAGGCCAGATGTCGTCGACTTGCCTAATCAAGCCGGCGTAGTCCCCGGCTCGATCCAGCTGGCCCAACGTAACGTAACCTCCTGTCTCCGTCGACCTTAAACATCGAATGAATTCATACCGCGACACCGTAGGACTCCTCCTCCTTCTGCTTTGCTCTCCTCTCACGCGGGCCACACTACTGGTGATGCTGCAGACGCGCACAAGCCTAGCACGCCGTCCGTAGCTAGCTTTGGCCACACAGACGATGCGCGCCAAGTCACGACTGCCGTCAGATGAAATGAAGCCGGCGCGCCTCGAGTTCAGATCCATGCAGTGCGGCTCAGGTCGAAATACGTAGCACTGGGCCCCAACTAACCACAAAAATGTCAGCTAGGCTTCATCTGACGGGAAGGCGGCCTTGGGTACCTTGATTCATAACAATTCCCTTGCTTGTAGATGTACACCACCAAACGATGATAGCTACCGATGCTCCGTATCGCCATATACATCAATGCCCGACATCACTAGGATGGCTTATCCAGTACCGCATCTTTCTGTGGGTAGAGCCCCGACCGCCACAGATCCACGCAAATTTTGAACATTCAAGGCCAAGACTCGTGCCGTCCCCTCCACACTTGACCTTGTCTCATCTGAGCCTTTCCCTGCTCGCGCTTGGCTCGATGGCGTCTGTGCCTTGCTAGGTTCGCCGGCAGGCGGCTGTCCCTGCGTGCTAGGATTCCGACTAAAGCTGTGGCTCCCTCTCCGCTGCTGATGGCCCGCTTGTGAATGATGCTGATGGGGGCTGGTCCCAAAATACTGGGACCCTCCTGCGCCGCTGTAGCTTCGAGGATGCGACACTGCGTTGCAGTCAGCCAGTCTGTTCGGCAAGGAAGTAGCCATGCAGACAATGGGTTTACTGACTTGGACCAGCAGGCTGTTGTGGCTGCTGCTGCTGATGGTGGCCAGGACCAAACGAGGGCTGGCTGTACTGCACGCTTGGGCTCATTCCGTACATCGGCTGCCCTTGCTGCGAACCTTGGTGGGCCATCATCGGGGCGACGGGGCGCCCTGGGCTAGGGTACCCAGTCGCGCCTGGTCCTTGCTGTGGAGGTCCACCGTGAGGCATGAATTGGGGGTTGCCTCCAGGATACATCATCTGTGGGTTCCCGACCATGCCCTGAGCGCCAGGCATGAAGTGTGGTTGCATCATCATCGGGCCCCCCATTTGGCCATGCTGGGGCATGTACTGGTTCGAGAAGTTGCGGTACTGATTCATCTGGGGAGTCCCGGGCCCCATGTAGGCCGACTGACTGGACGGAATCTGCGCTGGAGAGTTCATGGCCGGGTAGGCCATGGATGCCGGAGGCATGCGAGGCGAAGCGAAGGACTGGGCCGAGTTCGAGTGGACCATTCTATGATCATCATGCCCAAACTGCTGATAAGGCCCCGGGCCGTGTTGGGGCCCATGCATTTGCATGTGAGGGAGGTGAGGTGACTGGCGCGGCCCCATATTGTGGCTGCCCTGTTGCAGATGGAACGGGAGTTGATGCTGGTGCGGTAGGTGGGGCGCAACGTGTGAGGGATTGGGTGTGGCCATGCTCGATCCTCCAAACGGCTGGCGTTCAAACAATTCTTTGACTGTCAAGTGCATGGTCGACTCGGGGCTCTCGTCGTCCTGAAATTGCCTCCACGTCGGGGGCGTGTCGTAGGAAGGACGCAGACCACCATTGTCATCCCACTTCCGGCCTGGTGGAGGCTCAATAGCCTTGATGGTCGACAAGATGTTACACTTCTGGCAGCTGACGTTCTTCGTCTTTCGGCGGATGGGAGGCGGGCCCATGCCCAAAGGCGTACCCGTGGAACCTGGTGTGCCCATGGGTTGCGCGGACCCGTTTGTGCTATCCGATGCTGGGTTCGTAGCAGGTCGTGGGCTGGATGCGGTGCTCTGGCCTGGGTTGAATGTAGGGGCAAAGGCATTGGGCCGGAATTCGCTGCTGTTGGGATTGAGCTTGGCTCCCATGTGTGATGGCACGCCGCTCAACCGACGGTTGACATTGGGGTCGCTGCCACCAGCGGGCCCAGTGGGCGGCATCCTGCCATCCTGAAGGGGCGCTGTCCCAGGAGGCATGCCAAATTTGCCCGGATTCTGTGAGTCGGCGTTGCGAAGTCTCTGAGCAAGGCTGCCTGGTTGAGGCTGCTGGGCGCCCATCTGCTGCGGACGATTGTTACGATACTGAGAGTACTGTTGCTGCTGGAATGACTGGCGAGGACCAGCATGACGGTTGGCACTATTGCCCTGAGAGCCCATCTGGGTGGCATGTGGACCCTTGGGCGGGCGAGAGTCTGCGCCGGTTCGTGGGACATCCTGCTCGCCAGCTTTCGCAGGGCCTTCTTTGCCAGTCACGGTTTTTGGCTTGGAAGAGACATCTTTGCTCTTGGTTCGTGCGACCTCCTCAGCGTTCTTGATGGCCTTAGCTTGGATTTCAATCTGTTTTGTAGGG